TATATATATATATATATATATATATATATATTATTGTCAGTATTTTTCTCTAAAGTAAATTCTGATGTCTGGGCATAATATAATTTAATATATTCAGGATATATCTCCAAGACAATTAGTGATTCTTTGTCATAATTAAACTCCTCTATGCTGCTTAAATCAATTTTGAACTCTGATGGAAAAGGACAACCTTCTAAAGGATTCACTGGGCACTGTGTTAAAATTCACTTCCACATTTAGTTTACACCATGATCATGCCTGTATTTGCATGCAAATTTTTTAAAAAAGGGAAATGACACTCAGGTATGTGAATTCAAGAATTTGTGGGTGACAAACAGGTAAACAGGTAAACATACCTGTTTATACACACATAGGATTTCTCAAAGTGAGCTAGAGGTACTATAGTGAATTGCCAAAAATGTTTTTAGGTGTGTTTTTCCAGAGTAGCTACATGGGCCTCCAATCTCATTTGCAGGAATAATTAAGCACTGTAGAAAACTATAATACGTTGGTTGTTTCTACGAGATAGTGCAAAACTTAAATCTGGTAGCCATAATCCTGACATCTACGGGTATTTGAGCGCGCAAGTCTCCAGCCCTTTTCTATGATCGAGAACCTCAGTATAACCCCTCCCTAGCAGGGGGAAAAAACCATAGAGGCATTGTTATAGAGGCAGCAGAAAGGGGATTTGGGGAAAAATACATCCTTAATATGTCAGTGCAATGAGCAAAAGAAGGTTGCCCAGGACAGCTATTTAAGGCAAGTAGCTATGCACTCTTTCCTCCTAACTCAGATTCTCATTTTGCAGACACCCTCTTCACCCAGTCTATTCAATTGCAAGAGGTGATTGTGTAATTACACTTGAGCGAAAAGGAAATTTCCTTCTCAAGAATCCCAGTATGTCAATAGCCCTTAAGCACCTAGGCCATACCAGCCAGATACCATATTAGAAATTATGCGGCTTTGGTAACATGCAGCTCAGCTGTTAGGTCAATTTAGCTCAAACTTAGTTGGATGCATGATATCAGTAGTGAGCAGGCAGAATTATCTTTAAAGATAAAGTGAACTCCCAGAACCACGTACAGTTGTAGGACAGAAGAAAAATGCCATATAAGGCCTGAATGGATTGTCCTTCCTAGTATATATGGACCTGACGAGGCAATATTGAACACCATTCCTTCACAGCCAAAATTGTCACTAGAATATTCCTGGATTCATGCTCAAGTAATTGTTGCCTTGCAAAAAATGCTGTAACAGCCACAATTCTCTCAGTTTAAATCTATACCATACGTTGGCCCCGTTTCTCTAGATTTGGTTGCAGTGAAACTTTTGCACCGCTATCGATCACAGCAACGAATCTGAGTTAAGCAATATACGGTATACATTATTCCATTCCTTTAATCCACCTTGGGCATGTCAATATTCTGTTTGAGCAATATAACTTATCAGTTTAAGTTGGTGACTTCCCCAATCCTCTTTGCTTGGATATTCCCTTGATTCTCATAATTTAGCTATGTAGGTAGGGCAATAGACGTAGATGACCCCAAAATGGCAAAATCTAAAACTGTTAGAAAATGGCCTTATTTGTTTCAAAACAGAGGAAAAAAAACCCAGTAATTTTGCTTAAGTATTAAATATGCATTAAAAACATTCTGAGGCTCAGTATGAAAAATACTTAACTCATAGCAGCTTGCTCCACCAGATTTGTTTAAAGTTGGCATTTATATGCTAGTAAAGTCATTGTTTTTTTGTTCCTTTAGCCCATTTAGGTATAATTAATCATCCCAAGTTTACAAATGGGATTCTGTCAATTTACCTATGAGCATTTCTGATTGTATGCCAACAACTTTTTAAAAAATATATTTTCTGGTTAAAAGGAGCTAACTTGGTTGTGTGTTACTGTGCAAACAGCAAACAAGTCAAAAAAAGTTTCAAAAGAGATCCACAAGAGGGTATTGGCGGACATATATTGACCGGAAGACCAAGAAATTAAAGATGAAAGGAAATAAACGGCATAAATAGGCGCAGAGTCTCTTTGGAATCCTCCTCCTATGCTTCGGAACACTGTCTCTGCTGGGATAGATTAACTGATTTTGAATCCACTCTGATTCAATGTTTCCTCAAGTAATCCAGATTTCAAATTAAGGCATCAGTAGTCAAGCCTAGATTGGGCGTTGGTTACTCACCTGATATGCCCCTTCTCAGGTCGGTGGAGACATCATCCAGACATGGGTTATTCCAGCCAGTGTCCAATAGGACTGGGTCTACCAAATTGATAAGTCACGCCCTCCATGCTAGCTCCTCCCAGCTTAGGCGAAGGAAGAATAAAGGTAGACTGCTGTGTCACATCTCAGATTAAATGTGTGATCTCTCCTTGTCAATGGAAAAAAATAAAGATTAGTCCGAACAACACTCACAAGGTGGGGCTGGATGATCTCTCCACCGTCCCGAGAAGGGGTGTATCAGGTGAGTAACCAATGCCCTTTCTCCCAGTAGGCGGAGACATCATCCAGACATGGGACATGCCAAAGTCTATTCCGTCCCACGGGCGGGCTCAGAGTGAGGACTTAGGATTCTTGGTAGGCCACCACCCGCTACAATACTCGCCGTCCAAAGGCCGCATCTGCTGAAATATCCGTCAAGCCTGTAGTGGCGAATGAACGGGGATGGTGCGGTCCATGTAGCCGCCCTGCAGATCTCCTCCAATGGGGCCTGGGAAGACCAGGCAGCTAAGGTGGCAGCACTGTGTGTGGAGTGTGCCGTGATTTGGTGTGGAACCAGAAGAGAGAGAGAGCTAGGTATGGTCTTGAAATTGCTGAGCGAACCCAACATCCAATGTCTGTAGAAGAAGCTCCCTTCTTACCTCCAGGTTGGAATCAGACAAAGAGAGCCTCCGAACGTCGGAATTCCGCAGTTCGTTTGATGTATACTCGTAAAGCCCGATGCACATCAAGACTGTCACTTACGTTCCAGCTGATGTGATGGCTTGGGGCAAAAGTCAGGGAGCACCAATTCTTGTGCTCTATGAAACACCGAATTTACCTTAGGTATAAAAGTTGGGTCCAGGCAGAGAACTACTCTGTCCGGGTGGAAGATGCGTCTAGTTGATAGTGCTGCTAGTTCAGAAACCCGCCTGGCCATAGTGACCGCGACAAGAAAAACAACCTTTAACGTGAGATGGTATAAAGAGGCTGAAAGCAGAGGCTCAAAGGGAGACCCTGTCAAGGGGTCCAAGACTTTGGTAATGTCCCAGGAAGAAAATCTATGCATAGTAAGGGGATTGAGATTGGTAATGTCCCGGAGAAACCAGCGAATAAGGGGCTGGTGTGAGAGCGGCTTAGATGCAGCAATGGACAAAACTGAGGACAAAGCCGCCACCTGCCGACGGAGCAGATTTGGGGATAGTCCCTTGTCAAGTCCCAGCTGAAGAAACTGAAGAACGTTAGGGATGGAAAGGGGCAATACTTTGTAGCTGACACCAGGAAGAGAATTGTGTCCACGTGGCGTCATAAATGCGATTAATGGACGAATGCCTGGAAGCCTGGATCGTTTGGATTACCTCAACCGAGAGATTGGCTGCTGTTAAGGCCTCCTGCTCAATCTCCAAGCAGTGAGATGAAGCCAGGCGACATGGGGTGCTGGAAGGACTTTTGTATTAGGAGGGAACTGATTTGAGGAAGTTGCCACCGAGGGGCCACCGATAGGTTGGGCAAGTCGGCGAACCAAGGCCTGTGGGCCAGTGGGGAGCTAGACGGATCAGCTCTGCCTCCTCCATCAGCATCTTTTGAATTACGTGTTGAATCAGCGGAATCGGAGGGAACACATATAGAAGACCCTGGGGCCATCTGCACCTTAGCGGGTCCGTGCCCTTCGTGCCTGGGGTCACGTAACACGTGAAATACCTGGGGAGTTGATGGTTGTCCTGCGTTGCAAACAAGTCCAAGATTGGTAGGCCATACCTGTCCGTGACTTGCCTGAATATTCCGTGATGGAGACTCCACTCTGCCGGGTCTATCTGCAGGCGGCTGAGACTATCAGCCTGAAGGTTGTTTATGCCTGATGTATGCTCTGAGTGAAGAGACAGGAGATATTCCTCCGCCCATGCCACTAGCTGGAATGATAAAGTCATTAGAGCCTTTGACCACGTTCCCCTCTGCCTGTTTATATGCGCCTTGGCAGTGGTATTGTCTGTGCGCATTGGTGACTATGTCCCTGAAATGGAGTAGCGTGAGATACACTGCCCGCAGTTCCAACCAGCTTATAATGTTCTTTAGGTCGGAGCGGGACCAGAGACCCTGAGCCACATGGTCTTGTATGTGAACACCCCAGCCCAGGAGACTTGCATCGGTAGTGAGGACGATTTTCTGGGGTTCCCTGAGGAGAATGCCCTGAGACAGAGCTGGGAAGGGCCATCACTGTAGAGACCTGCTTACCTCCGGAGTGAGAAGTACCTGGACTGTCGAGGAGCTGTTTTTGGACCTCTGATAGGGAAGCAGGAACCATTGCAGATGACGGCTGTGGAAGTGAGCCCATGGCACAATGTGGAAGCTCGACACCATCTTCCCTAGAAGCTGCGACAATTGGAGGAACGGAACTGTGTGCTGCCGCCTGGTGGCTGAGACTAATTTGCATATGCTGACCCTTCATTCCGGAGAAAAGAAGACCCTCCCTAGACTTCAGATGGAGGAGGTGAGTGGCAGAAGTCAGATGACTCTTTTTGGTATTTACCAGGAACCCGTGATCTTGGAGGGTCTGGAGAGTGGTCTAAATGTCCCTGTTTGCCTGGTCTGTTGACCTGGAGAGCAACAATATGTCGTCCAGGTAGCAGAGAATGCGAATTGGTAGAGAGAGATGATGAGCTGCGATCACTGCGAGGACCTTTGTGAAGACCCTTGGGGCCAATGACAGGCCGAACGGGAGCGCCCGAAACTGGAAATGATTCCTGGCGTAGGAGAATCGTAGAAACTGCCTGTGCTCGGCCAAAATGAGGATGTGGTGGTATGCCTCCGTGAGATCCACCGAGGAGAGGAGGTCGTTTGGGCGAACACTCTCCAAGATGGACTGCAGGGAGTGCATTTTGAACGTCTGGTATACTATAAATTTGTTTGGAAATTTGAGGTCGAGAATTGCTCTCCAACCACCCCACCAAGACTTCGGCAGTATAAAGAGACGGGAGTAAAAACGCCATCCCAGTTGGTTGGGAGGCACCTCCTCGATGGCCTGAATCTGGAGATGCCGAATGGCCTTTTCCACCAACCTTCTTTTGATGGTGTTTTTGGAAACCTTACACGTGACGAAGTACTGCGGGGGAGTGGAGAGGAACTCCAGAGCCAAGCCCAATCTGATTGTGCGGCGAATCCATGCATCACTGATGATGACATCCCAACGGTCAGCAAAGGCCGACAGGTGACCCCCGTTGGGGAGAACGCCCAAGGAGTCACTTCTGCTTCCGGAAGGGGGATTGGAATTGCCTTTGTAGAGCTTCCTTGAGGAGAAGCGTTGGTTGTTCTTTCCTGACCTGTCATAAGAGGAGGATCCCTGTATGGGGGGTGCCTGAAATTGCGGAGGGGAGTAACTGAAACCCCCGGCCAAGCCCCGAAGGGGCTGCCTGCGAAAAAAGAGGATTTATTATCCGATTTGCGAGTAGCCGAAAACAGAATCTTCCTTTTATCTTTGGATTCAATCAGAAGAGGCTCAAAAGGAGGCCCAAAGAGATGTCAGCAAAAAAGGGAGAAGAGGCGACCCTCCATTTTGCTCTGGCATCCTCCTGTCATTGCTTCAACCACAAGAGACGGCGTGTGGGCACAGAAAAGGCAATGGCCTTGGAAGCGAAGCGAGCTGCATCCAAAGAAGCATCCGCCGAATACGCCATTGCAGCGTTAAGCTTATTAATGTCCTGGTGTGATCTAATATCAGAAGGTGGGAGCCTGTCCTGAAGCTGTTTAAGCCAACATAGAGCAGCCCTATTGAAGAAGGAGGCAGAAGAAGCCGCCCTCACTGCCCATGCTGAGGCCTGATGACCCTTGAACAGGGTTTGCTCAAACCTTTTGTCCTCCAGTCGGAGGGGCATCCTCCGGAGCTGCTGTAGCAGTGTTTGGAGAAGAGATAGCAACCACAGGTGGGGGGGGGGGGGTCTATGGATAGCACCTCCAATACCTTTGAGAACTCAGGACCAATATTATACAAGTGCTTGTCCAGGAAAGCGGGGAGAGGCCCAGCCCCTGGGACACCCACTGATTCTGGACTACTTCCAGAAAGAGCTTTGGGGATGGGACATCCTTTTCAACTGTAGGCCTGGAAAAGAAAGGGTCAGTAGTATCAACTTTGTCCTGTTCCATACTGGAAGTGGGCTTGGAGGCAGGGATGCCGGACACCTTTTTTGCCTTGAAGAGAGCGAAATAAGACAGGTTTAAACAGTCCCACCAATGAGGAAGGAGCAGGAGTGAGGTCCTCATCATCTGAGAGGTCAGAGTCTCTTGAAACCTGCTCATCAACCTCTAAGACAGAAGCCTGGGAAAGAGAGTCAACAGGAGTCCCCTTTGCGAGGGAGGAATGTCCCTTGTGCTTCCTGGAAGATTTGGAAGCCTTTGAAGTAGAGACCACAGGAGCACAATGTTGCAGGCCAGCAGCAATGACCCTTTCTACGGCTGCTGAGATAATATCAGCCATATCAGAAGGGTAACAGGGCAGCCCACTGGGGCTCGGTGAAACAACCTCCAGCTCGGGAGTTAGACTCCTCTCATCCTCCGAGCCATCTTCCACTGGGAAGTCAGGCTGAAGTGGGGAGGCAGGTGTCGAAATTTCCCTATGTGTGTCAGTGGAAAGATCCTCAGGGGGATTTTGTGGCCTGGAGGAAGGAACCAAGGGAGGCTGGGGAGAAACCTCACAATGACGAGATTTAGTCTTGGCCTTGCGAGAGACTGAGGAAGAAACCACACTCTGGTCCTTACTAGGGGCCGGCTCCCAAGATACGCTGGACCTAGAAACCTTGGCAGGCCTGGAAGCATCCTCCCCCACCGAAGAACCCCTCTTCTTTGAACTGGACTCCTTGGGATTCGTAGGTGGTATAGTGGAAGGGGGAGAGTCCTGAAGGGACACAGGGGCACCCACATCCGAGGCATTGGCAGACATGGTATTCACGACCTCGTTGTGGTGACTCAAAATGGCCGCCGGACTTGCTGAGTGTCCAAGATGGTCGCCCGGAATCTTCGTGTCCTCTGAGGGACAAGAAATAAAAACCAGCAATGCCGGCTAGTTCGCGCTGACCTCCTGGTCAGTTTAAGGCTGCTACGGCATTGGCGCACTGAATCCCGACAGCAAAAGCCAGAGATCAAAGGCAGCAATATTGGCGGCTCAGGGCAGCGATTCCGGAGTGTGAGGCTGTGCAAGTTGTTGTTGGTGACAGGAGGCTGCTGCAAAGTGCGAGGCGGCAATCTTATGATCAAACAGAGCCTTAAGACAGCGAGCAACGCAGGAGGCAGGAAGACGACCGCCAGGTAATGCATGGTGAGAAAAGCGGCAAACGTGGCCGAAGGGATATACCTGTGAGCCCAATTCTCCGTAGAGGCTAGGGAACTAGTCCCGATCTCAGTCTCCCCCCCACCAAGCTCCAATCAACAATTTTAGAAAATTTTGGAATTTGGAATAGCAATATGTCAAATAAGAACGAATTTAAGAAAAAAATACAATTAATAGCAAAAACCTATTGGAGAGATCACTAGACACAGCCAATGCAAGGAACGGACTGAGTCTAAGCTGGGAGGAGTAGCACAGAGGGCGTGACTTACCAATTTGGTAGACCCAGTCCTATTGGATACTGGCTGGAATAACCCATGTCTGGATGATGTCTCCACTTACTGGGAGAATATTTTGTATTCCCTGGAGAAAACCTTGGGGGTGGGGGAGGAGGAATGGAGGCAGTAACTGGGTTTAATCGTGGCCCACTCTAACAGTCATGAAAATCTTGGCAAAAGGGCTTCTGACTTCCTATTTCCCTTCCCAAGTACATTAGTTTGATGTAACATGTGCCTCTTCACAATCCGTTTCCACCCCACCATGGGGAAAAAAGCCATGCATTTAAATCTTTGTAGATTCTTGTCTCTGATGCATTTCTTGCACATAGTATGAGACCTCGTTTTTATGAGACAGATGCATTCCTAATGTACAGGTATTCTGACGTTTTAAATCCCGTAACAGTGCATTCATAGAGCACGCGGCAATTATTTTTTAGGAGTTTCAAAATAAGTTATAACAAATGACACAAGCATAAAAAAATCAGGTCCAGAGTCAAACACTGAGTATCACTCTCTTTGGTACATACACTCCTAACCCTAAGCTAGTTCAAGTAATGGTTTCACCAGTATATTACAGTAAGGTGGTAAGCAAGGGGGAATCAAAGGGATCACTGGCCCACATTATGTAAGCATTTTTTTTCCTATCTCTCACATATTAAAATCCTGAGAGAATCCTGAGTACCATTTACTTAGGAGCAGCTGGTGGTTCACTGAGGAAAAAAAAACAAATATAGTGGAAAAGTAGAAAAAGTATCCCAGATTAACAGTTTAAGAAATGGAAATAGAAATTTAGTTGAAAAAAATAAAGGAGCGTAACTCCTGCATGCATTAATCCAATGACAGAAAATCCACAATGAGACCAAAAAGATTAAAATCACGTAAGAATGAGGAACAGATACTCGGTTGGACTGACATACACTTTTAAGTCAGAAAACAAGAGTTATAAATTACACATAAAACAAAAGTTGAACAGTTATTAAAATGAAGAACGTTTACTAGTAACTGGAGATTCCATCGCTGGGTAATCTTGGTGCTCCATCCCAACCATTTTCAGACTGCCAATATCGAAAGAAGAAGAAACGCCAAGTATTATTGTACATACTGAATTGGCAAAAGGATTTTTTTGGGGGGGGGGGGGGAGAGACTTTTTGGAACAAATCCAATGTAGGGGATCCAAAGGCAGCACAGGAAGAGGAGACGATGTAGCACTTCTCAGCCAGTCAATTTTGGGGGGGGTTTTGACGTTCGACAATCAACAATTTCTTTTTTTCATAGATCCGATTGAGGACATCAATGGTGTCTCGAATTAAGGCCTCAAAAATCCCATCTGCTAGCTGCATCTTCACATACAGCTCATCTTCATCATAGTTCACCCACTGAGCCTCTTCTTCATATAATTCTTGAACCTTAGAATTGGAAAAGGAAGGAAGAGAAGTCACCACTATTAATATACTACCCTGTAGACACATACAATAAAAATTATTATTGTAAATCCATCTAACCATCATTTTACAAAAGCTACGGATTTTCAATGACTCACAGGAAATAAAATGAATAATAATTCCCAGATATATTACGATTAAAAGAAAAATTTAAAATAGGACACTATCACTATTTATGAAGTCATTAAGTCAACACTAACTTTCAATCAATCATTCATTCAATCAATCAATCAGAATCTCTTATCAATGACTTTAGACCAGTGTTTCTCAACGTTGGCAACTTGAAGATGTCTGGACTTCAACTCCCAGAATTCCCCAGCCAGCGAATGCTGGCTGGGGAATTCTGGGAGTTGAAGTCCGGACATCTTCAAGTTGCCAACGTTGAGAAACACTGCTATAGACATTCCAATACACCAGGCTTTGGTGTGACTCATATTGCTCTGAAATTACTTGTGTTACTTCTGAAGTGTTAGTAACTTTAAGCCTGTTCATGCTTTGCAACAATGCCAGCATTATTAAATAGTTCCACATCCATTAAAGTTATGGCAGACAATATTTTCTCACTCCTCTCCTTCCTCTCAGCTCATTAATTTTTCTTTCATATATTTATTTTGCAATTTGATTTTCATTCTCAATGTACATTTATAATGGTCACTCATTTTTGTTTTCACTTTACATTTCCTGAACAGCTATGCCTTCTTAACCTTATCTCTTGCTTTATCATGTGTATTTAAATACCCAATTCCTAAGAAATTAAACATACCTTTGCTTTTTTAAAATTTAATCTACTCTTATTTTCACTTTAGAAAGTGGTTAGAAGCACACTTTGCCATTGATGTTTATTCTTTACAATAGTACCCATTGCCTTTCTACCAGCAATTACAAATCTTGAACTTCTCCATCAATTTCCCCATCTGGAATAAACATTTCCCAACAAGCATGCCTTCATCTCTTTGATCTATTTCTTTTTGCCATTCATGAACAATCTGCAACCATTCACACGATTTTTGTGTTAAAAACAACAATCGTATTTCTTGTTGTATCTGCTGAAAATCAATCTGGGTTCTCAACCAACAACAAGTCACCATTTTTCCCAGAAGTATATATATAATTAGGTTATCGAACAACATGCCTCTTATGTCACAATCATATTCCTGTACCTATAAATACATTAAACAATCAAACAGCCTACTATACAGTGAGTTGGTTCTGCTTGAAGTGTCCTATATACTGTACACTTATAAATAATAATAATAATAATAATAATAATAATAATAATAATAATAATAATAATAATAATAAATGATAATAATCAACATCGCAATACCAGGTGATAGCAGGGTCGCCGAGAAGGAACATGAAAAAATCGCAAGATACCAGGACTTAAAAATCGAAATTCAACGACTATGGCACAAACCAGCAGTGGTAATTCCAGTGGTAATTGGCACACTGGGTGCTATTCCAAAAGCACTGGAATTACATTTAAGACAAAATCACCATCAGTCAAATGCAAAAAGCCGCACTGCTTGGATCTGCACGCATATTCCGAAAATACGTTACGACGTCCTAGGCCCCTGGGTGGGGCCCGACTAGTAACCAATGCCAAATCCGGCGAAACAACAGGCCGCTGTGATACAATTGTATAATAATAATCCTTATTCTGCTTAAAGATCTAAATTTGGAAATGCCCAATTTTAGTTGATATTTATCCATAGTTTATACGGATGAGTACACACAAGGAAAATATGGTTGTTCAAAAGCACAGAAAAGGACACATTTGCCTGTCTACAATCGTTCTCCTTAGGAGGGCTGAAAGTAAATCTGGGAAAGAACAAGCTAATATGTAAACAACATTAGATCGAATCCATGCTTTCAAACCATGCAGATTGCTAGGTATTTATGCCTGACTACAATGCATAATTCAAAAACCAATTACTAACCAATATTTGATCCACTCTATCCTTTTTTTTCCGTCCAAATTTCATCGTTTTTTGCCAGTCTGTTTTATTATTTGATTCATTTCTCAAATTTAAGAGCTTTAAAACCTCAGCTGTTATAAAGACCTTGGGTAAAGAAGAAAAAAAATGAATGCTAACTAAATACATTTTCTCTAGTTGTAATGTTCAATTCTACAAGCAGCTTTCAGGGAGAAGATTACTAGTGAGGTCGTAGGCATGGCGTATATGTAACAGAAAACACATTGAACTGCTAGGTAATTACATACTGATTCAACTGTTGTATATTCCAGTATATAGATAAATGCAGCACCAGGCATTTTTTGGAACTATCCTCACCTCTTGACTTATTAATTCAGATATAGCTGTTATTAGTTGCTGTATTAGAAGGGTTTTATATACTGGTTATCATTCATTGTATTTTTTGAAAAAAAATATTGCATGTTACATGTAAGCTATGATGGATTTGTAACTGGAACAGTTAAATATTGACAATTAAAGCCTTTATTGTTTTAGTTTTAAGAAATAGAAGCATCAATCTATATCTTGTTTCAAACTAATATTTAAGTGAAATCAACAGTACAGTAAGAAACTATAGTGAAAAAATGAGAGATAGTATCATATGAATACTCATCTTGGAATATGACTGATAGCGTAAGAAAATTATATTTTTTTCCAAATAAAAAATAATTTATTTTTCAAATAAAAATGCATGATAAAACTCCACCAGACTTCACATTCTACCTCAAGTTCTAGATCAGTTGTTCTCAGCATAGACTGTGGGCTCCTGGGAGTGCCCAACACCTTTTCAGAAAGTCAATGAAGACAAATAAAGCTTTTAAAACTTCTCTGTTTTCAACCTTAATAAATATTCATAAATATAACCCATGTAAACCAAAGCTCTTTGGGGCCCTCAATCATTTTTAAGAATGTAATGAGGTCCTGAGACCAGAACATCTGAGAACCGCTATCTAGGTGAACTGCACTTTATTTCTATAAATATAATTAAAGTTCAAGCTATTAATCTTATGCCTACTTTTATTTCTTCAAGATTTCTTGGATCTCTAACTCGTCGATAGTAACCAGAAATTATCCTCCTGGGCTTCATCCATAACGGCCGATTCAAATTCGGATCTTCTGAAAAGATTTCTTCAAAAATCTCTCTCGTTAAATCAAACACAAGCTTGATAAAAACAAAAGAAACATTGTATTTACCATTGTATATTATAATACAGTATCATTTTTCCAACGAACCAAACAAAACTATTAATGATTTATGCTGAATTCTAGCTATGCAGCAAGTGGAATATACATTTTCTCTATTTTTATACATTTCACAATAATCTGAGATAACTGCCATACCTGTTTACTAATTTGTTTATTAATGGTTTCAATGTCGTCATCTTGGGTGGATTCATTCATGTCTCTGTGGCTGCTGAGGGATCGAAGATCATGCCCCAACTCTTTGCATTTCCATAGTTTCTCAGTTGCTGCATGCACCAACTTCTCCACTTCTTCTGCAACGTATAGTGCATCCAAAGGTTCTTCACATGGCTTTTGTGACACTTTCGGCACTTCTATCTTAGGTAATACTTCTGATTCTTCGGCTTGGTTTTCAGGGAGCTGATGTGAACTCAAACCAAAATCCTCATCAGACCAATCTTGGTCATCTCCTAACACATTTAGATACTCCCTACTAAGTTCCAGCTCTGCCAGCCTCTTGGCAAGTTCTTCCTGTCCACTGGCACCAAATACAGGGCTTTCCTAAATAATAAAAAAGTGATTATTACTTAGAACCTTAATTATTCCCTGCACTATGCTCCTGATTTTGATAAATATTATCCATCAATGCTTTAAGATTTAATGATATATAGTCATATGTCCGGTTGTTTGTTCTTAGGGTAAAAGAAAATGGGATGTAGAGAAAGTATAATGGTCTTTTACTAGGGAACCCATGGAGGTATGCCCTTGCTAGTGAGCCTATAGGGCAAGTCACATGTGAAAGCCCCAGTTAGCTAAATGGAAATGATACAACAGCAGTAACTCATGGATTGCATCCGTAACAGAGAAACAATATTCAGGAATACAATTCTATACCCAGAAAAATACTTAACATGGAAAAATGTATTGACTAGGATTACAACGATCCATATTAAATTCCTTATTTTCCTACTTCATTGTATTCTTTGAGAATATAACTAGGTAGAAATATATGTACATTGATTTTTGCATCTTCAAGAAAGGCAAGATATAAACACAAATAAATAAATGCAGTTCTTGTTCATCTAGTTTTTACTTTCATGGATTTAAAAAAAAGCAATGTGAGTTCAGTTGTTAGGACCCCAAATTTAAAAAAAGTAAACCAAACGTTCTAAATCAGTGTTTCTCAACCTTGGCAACTTGAAGATGTCCGGACTTCAACTCCCAGAATTCCCCAGCCAGCATTCGCTCCTATCCTTACATGAAACACAACCCCCCAACCAATCAGAACACACCTCCACCCAATCAGAACACAGCCAAGCTCCCACCCAATCAGCTCAAACCCCCACTGGCAGTTAAAAGGAAGAAACAGCCGAGATCTCACATTGCTCCTGGAAGCACGAAGCCTGAAGATGACGAATGAGGCTTCGTCGAAACGTCGCCAAGACACCTCCAATTTTACGCGGGAGAAAACTCGAATAACTAAAGACCTACATACTAACACCCGCGAAAACCTCAGAAAAACACACACACAGGCACACGCACATATATATCCTGAAAGAAACTCTTGTTCCAGATTTACATGATGTTAGGGGATATGAGATTCACAGGTGGCTCTTTTTGATAGTGGGCCTGTGCTTTGGAACGACCTTTCTCTCAATACCAAACTTGTTTCCACATTTAAACTTTCCAAACAGTTTTGAAAATAAATGGTGCGGTGTTTTTTGGAAGAATCTATAGAGACAAAGATGATGATATTGAATGTTTCAGCTATTGTTATTTATCTAATACACTGTTGTGTTTGTGATGTATTTCTAGTGAAATGTTGGTTTAATTTTACTTTATATTACTGTGGTACTGCTGTGGTTTTAATTACCCTATTGTTATGTTCTTGATCTGTTGTGAACTATGGAGAGTCTGATTAGAGTGTACAAACATGATAAAAAGAAAGGTGATTAAAAACAAACACAAATGTGAAACACAAACATTTGTTGTTAAGACATAGCTTATTAGTAACTTTCAAATTTCATAACTGAAGCATTACTCTAGGGTTCCACCACAAAACCGCGGACGATGAAAGCGCGTATGTGACATCATCACAGCGCGTTGAAAAAGATCAAAAAATGTAAAAATAAAGCGAAAACCTTACCCTAACCCCCCCAAACCTAACCCTAAACCTAACCCTAAACCTAACCCTTAACCTAACCCTAAATCTAACCCTAAACCTAACCCTAACCCTTAACCTAACGCTAAACGTAACCCTAACCCTAACCCTTAACCTAACCCTAATCCTAACCCTAAACCTAACCCTTACCTTTATGTGAATCGGCTTGCTGTAATTTAATTTTTATTTCAATTTTTCGATCTTTTTCATCGCGTTGTGATGACGTCACATATGCGATTTCGTCGACCACGCTTTTGTGGAACGCGCTTTTGACGGGTCACGTTACTCTAGTCTTACTTATCTTAATTATGAACTATACTTACTGGTCTTGGACACATATCTGGGGAAGACACTTCTTCTCCATCATCCAATTCTGATGCCACTAAAAACCTCTGCTGTTCATTAAATGCCAAGTTCTTTTCTTGGACAGCACCGAGTTCTTGATTGCTAAAATGGATCTTCTCATTCCTTGCCTTTTTGATTTGCTGAAATTGATTGACTGTGTCTTTCACAAAACCTTGCAGGAGACTGTCAGCCAACAAACCAACTCTTTCTTGTCTATCTAGTACATCTTCCTTTTCTTGGGATGGGACTTTAAGTTGGGCTTCCAGTTGGCTTCTTTCTTTGGTCAACAAGTCCAGAAGTGGTGTTGCAGATTTCTCCAGATTACTGGAAGAAAATCTGTTTTCTGTTTGCTCTTGCCAAACAGACTGCTGCTTCCATTTCTCAGGAAAGCTGTTGTCCACAATCCCTCCTACTTCAATAGCGGAATTTTCTTTGTGGATGTTTGAAATGGCTGGAGGTAACATACCATTATCATTTTTAGAGGATTTGAGAGAGTCAAAGTCACTGGTTTCTTGATCAAACTCATCATCAGGACTAATAACTACCACACAGCTCCTTGATTTATTGAAATTTATGTAATCTCCAGCTCCAATTGAACTTTTTAAGGCCGATGAGTCTTTTGGAGATTTCTCATTTGAATTTCTTTCATTCTTTTCTTTTTCAAGACCGTCTAAGCCTCCCTGATTTGTTTTGGGTTGATTATCTAGTTCACGCTTAAAGAAAGAATTTTCATTTGAATCTAAGTTATTACCAACACTTTCTGAAAAAAGAGATAAATTTTGTGGAGGGGCAAAAATACCATGCTTTTCTTTACAGTCAAAATATTGAATATCATTGAAGGAGCCATTATTGTATCCATCAGGTTTGTCCAACTCTACACCAGCCCAAAAACCTGTATCAAAATTTGTCCGACCTTTAAATTTCAGTGTTCCAAGGTGGAGATTACTCACAAGAACTCGGTCACCAATGTTGAAACCTAGTAAAATATCTTCTTGTTCTCCTGATGATGCCCAAGATGAATCATCATCATCATCATCATCAGGTGGTTCTTTCTCCACATCACCACATTCTTTATTTTTCACAAATTCTGTTGGTGACTGAAGTTCCAACAATCTTTCTGATTGAATGCTACCAACTACAGACAAAGATTTTTCACTGAGACATTCACTTATTTCATCATCACTTCCAAAACCAGGGGATTCACCCCTAGGAGGTCTTGTGTACAGAGAGTTCTCTGCCTGTGATCCTGCATCTTGTCTGAAAGATAATGTAGGCTCTTGGAAAATATCTCTTTGATATTCAGTAAGAACTATCTCACTTTTTGATATATCTGTTCCTAAGGAAGACTCTTCAAAATCACTAGAATATGATTGCTCTTCGCAAATGGAAATCTGTTCTGAAACCAGGGAATCATCTTTCAGTGTATCTTTCCCCAGCCTATCAGTGGATTTGACTGATGTAATATTTTCATCATCCTCGAACGTTTCACTTGGCATCTCCTTGATTTCCTGCACACTTTTGCATTCCAAGACAAACTGATCCTTTTCCAACAGCTCAGTCTCTGGAGGGACTTCTTTCTTTAAAGGACTTGAGTTGTTTTGATTTAAATCAAAAACTGGGGCATTAGATATTTCATAAGCCTGGGAAACTATTTCAACCTCTAATTCTTTTGATTCTGCTGTCTCTTGCACTATAGCGGGAGAATCATAACTCACTGCATCTTCAGGCTTATTCATTGATATGGGAGATATTTTGCTTGTGTTTTCTAAGTCTTTGAGAATAGATGAGGAGAGTACACTATCCAAATCATCGGATTCTGCTATAGATTTTCTTCGGGTTTTGAGGACTCTGGATGCTGTATGAGATTGCTTCCCTTCATGAATCTCTTCTTCTGTGAATTTCATGATGTTTATAGACACAGATTGCTCAAAATGTGACACAGCATCTTAAGAGAATAAAACAAAATCAATTGTGCACTTTTATTTAGCATTATTAAAGTAAAAAAATCTGGTGTTATAGGAAAAAACTGAAATTCTTACTAGAGAATGCTAACCTAACCTGCATGAATATTCCACTGTTTACATATAAATAGCTAAAGTATAACCTAAACACAATATCCCAATAAAAATTATAATCAATAACACTTCATACATTCTTTTATTCTACTATGCATAGGAATTAACAGACCCTAAAATAGTTCCAAAGATTTTAAATTTGTATAAATGTTCCTTTTAAATTTCTTGTATAATAAATGAGGTGATTGTTTTGAGATGTTTGATCTTTTCTTCCCTATTTGATACTTTATTAAACTAAAATGTTTATTAAAAGATTCTAGAATGAAGAAGTGTGAGCAGAGAGACACATAGTGAACACAAATAAATTATCTAGTGTTACTCTGAATCCCTATCTTGTTTCTTTCTAAAAAGCTATCAACTCCAGTTCAGGCATAGTGCAAACTCAATAGTGTCAGAAGAGATTCTTATACTTATTTAACCACTCTGAACTAAAATTGCCTGGTATCAAGTACTAGCATTCTTCTTTGATTTTTTTTGAAGAACTATTATAAATAAAATTGCTAGAAAATATGCATAATATCTTATAGAAAATAAAATACATTTTTTAGAATTTATACTGAATATAAAATAATTCAATAGATTCTTACTTATTGCAACACTAGGGAGAAAGTTCTCATTTTTTTAAAAAAAAGTGTTAATTAAAAACAATAATAAAATCTATTAAATTCACTTGCTTGTTTTTCAATTAAATTTTTAAAAAAAATACTTTTAGTTGAAATTATTTTAAGCACATTAGGTATATGAAGATAACTTGTGTAATTTCAATATTAAGCAAGTAACTTCCAAGATACATACCAATATGTTCTGCAATAGATTCCAAAGATCCTCTAGAACGTTCAGAATCAGTGAGCGATTTCCAACTTTTGGATGTTTCAGACCTGAAAAGAGGTTTTGAATAGATCACTCGCACGTGTACTCACAGATATTAACAATTTGAAAATATTGTACACTACATCAGAATTAGCAAAATAAAACACAGGCAACTAGGAGAAATATATTTTTTTTAAAAAAATACATCTAATATTTAATCCAGAGATTTGAATAGTGCAATTCACTCAAAATCCATAGCTCAATTAAGATTTGAAATCAGATTCTAGTCTCACTGCTCTAGAACACTCTACATGGGGCTGCCCTTGAAGAGCATTCGGCGACTTCAGCTAGTCCAGAATGCAGCCGCGCGAGCGATTGTGGGTGCCCCTCGTTTCAT